TGAGATCAAATTTTTCTAAATATATTAATGTAGATTCGTTTTAGTTTGATTTCCTAGATTTAGGCAAAAAATCTTCCATTAAATACAATTTTTCAAGTTGATTGTAAAACGTCATGAAACGAACAACAACAAATGGCTGTTGTTAAAATCGGTTGCGATTTTAAAATAAGAAGATGTGTGAATAAACTATACACAAATAATTTTATTCTGTATTTATTTGTTTGTAAATTTTCTTATGAATCTAGATAGTTAGGAATTGAAAAAATGTCTTTTTAAGTTTGTTTGTGTAATAAGGAATACTATACATTTACTTTCTATCGAATTTCTCATTATCACTGATTAATTTATTATTTTTTTCTACTTCATTGTATTTTACTGTACTCTACCTCTCTCAGATATATAGAAAAAGAAATCTTCATTTTTAAAGAGGATAGTTAAATATTTTCTATATTTTTGTATAATGAAAATACAATTTAATTTCTTTTTTTGAAATAAAAAAAAGAAAAGAATAAACTCGTATTTTCATTGCATAAAAGTATCGAAGATATTTAACTTTCTTCGCTAATGATAAGGATTTCCATGTCCATACTCTTTGCCTTAGAATATATGAGGCTGATGTCAAATTTGTAGTTATCATTTGAATCATTTTTCTCAAATTTTCATTGTGTGTGCTTGTATTTTTTGTTGATATTTTAATATTAAATAAAAACTGATGTAGTAAAACGGTACTAACGAAAAAATACGCTTATGAGTATTTTGCATAGACCAGCAGAGTACACAGATACTAGATAAAAGTACTCACAAAACACTCAATATTACACGGCGAGTACTCGATTGTCGTACTCGGATACTAGCACGAGTACGAATGATGAGTATTCGAATCGACCGAAAGTTTTCCTATTTTGTAGAGCTCAATGAATTGTATTTACAATAAAAAAATCAGCTTGTATTATCGTTCCTTTGAAGAGATATATGTCATACAAGTTTAACTGAAAATCGTCAAAATTTAAAAAAACCAAAAAAATTGAAAAATTTAACAAATTTTGTGGTCTTCAATTTTTTAATAATATATGGACAAAAGTTAATTTCAATTATATATTCTTGTTCCCCAAGAGCTGGTGTATTTACTCATATATCATTTGTTATTTTTAATTTATCTAATAAAAATTTTTCGGGCCATACTAGTGATTGATGACAAAAATGACAGTATTCACAATTAGTCCCTAGGAACTCTGTTAAGATATATTCCACGATTTGATGACTTAGTGAATTTTTGTAGAGGAGACTTTGCTCTATCAAATCCTATATTCAGAATTTTATTCCAACTCGAAATGATCGAAATATAAGCACAAACTTTTTTTCATGCAATAATTTTTAATTAAAATAAGTCTTTGAATTCAAAAATTTTATTGAACAAAGTTTGTACCGATAAATGACTGAATACAAAGAATAAAAGTAGTTATCTAGCATCAGAAAATACTTTTTGTCATTTCGATTGACATATGAAAACTTATAGTTTGAATAATTATTGATATAGTTAGAATCAATATAATAGAATACAAAGTATTATGATAATAAATGGTTTTTCAAAAATTGTTGATAAAAAAAAGGTTTGTATCTCTAATTAATCAACTATGCATTCCTATATAATTGTGCCTATTAGAATCTGATTTCATGGACATATTAAAGCTTTCTAAACTTTCTGTATAGATATACGTATGTCATATAAGCTTAGATTCAGTTTAATATAATTTTGATGGTATTTTGAAATTTATCGATTATTATTACATTTTTAGTACTATATTATATTATGTATGCTAGAGAAAATTTTGAACACATAGTAGAACAACAGTTGTATAGATTTATCTATTTAGTTTTCTGAAAGATGAATGAAAAAATAGTGTTACTAAAACTAGTTTAGAATTCTTTACATATGCTTTTAATATTATTGAACAGTTCATGATTTAAATAAACTTCCTCTTGTTTGCCAACCAGTGGCGTAGCCAGGATTTTGGGCTAGGGGGGGCTCAGCCCCTCAAAAATTTTCGACCCATCTTAGGTATATGAAACTTATCTGTAAACCCAATATAGAGTTGATTTTTGGTTATTCTGATTCTTTCCTCAAAATATAAGCTGAGCTAACAAATATAAAATGGCAAAAGATGTTCGATCTTCATTCAATTGAAATAACAACAATAGATGAAATAAATGTGGAAACCTCGGATTTATATCCGAGAGTTATGTGTACTTCAAAAAGTGAATGAGACAAATCAGTCATCCTAGAATATCTGGATATAAAAATTAGCCGGGCAAACCTTTTCTATTGACACTTGAATTCAATTGGCTACTGCTCAACCAATAGGATTTGGAGGTGAATACAGCTCATATTTGAACTATTTGGTCCCGGACATACAGAAAAAAATAAAACGAATTAAGCAACGTGATTGGTCTAATTCGATTTAAATCGTCTTTTTGAGACGATTTATTCGTTAATTCAGTTTTAATTCACTTTGAATTAGTCGGTGTTCGGGGTCTTCGCCTTGATTTACTCTAAGAAAGTCGTTTTCCCTATAACTTGATTTCTATTGGTCAGTGCTCAATCAATAGAGCTTCGAGGCAAGTGGAGTACAAATTCGAGTTCTCCATCCCGAAAAACCCTGGAGTATCGCCTTTGCGATCAGAAGATAGAGCTCTAATTGTGGATCAATTAGAGCGTGGACAAGAACAGAACCGATTTCCGTTTATTTATCTTTGCAATAGGTGAGTTAGCTTCCTTGTTTCTTGATGCTTTATATACTATTTTGTAGCTCGTGAAATTCTCTGTCGAATGGTATATAATAATTGGGGTTTTATGTGACCATGATCGGGAAAGTCTTTTACAAAAGCAGGGACTGGTTGATCCTCACATAGGAAAGCATAGGGGAAAATAATTATTTTTACAATAACTCACCAATGGCTCGGACACTCATTCTCATCTTCGAACTAAACCGAGATATTGTTGGGACAAAACTGTGTAGAAAATTTCATCATGATTGAACTCTGCTTTCAAAAGTTATCACGTAAACGGCCGGTCGCTCGGCCGGACACACTGACCGATTCTAGAGTGTACTTACTTTTTGAGTACACAAAAATTTTGCTCTTGAATGGGAATAAATATGCGGTTGAACTTTCTTCTTTTTATTCTTCTTTTTTGCTCTTTTCTTGCCTATTTAAACGTATGTACTGGAATGGACGAAGAGAACTAGCTTGTAAAAATTAATTTTCTTCGCCCATTCCAGTATAAAAATTCAAATAGGCAAGAAAAGAGCAAAGAAGAAGAATAAAAAGAAGAAGATTCAACCACATATTTATTCTCATTCAAGAACAAAATTTTTTAACTCTAAAAAAAACGTATTACGTTCGAAACGTTGGTTATAATATATATTGTTATATATTTATATTTACATTTATATATTTTACTCTCCATTACTATGTTAAATTTTTTTATAATTGTAAATAATAATTTATATAAAATATTTAATATATTAAGAAAAAGCTAAATTTTTTTAAAAATGATCAATACAATCTACCTAAGACGTATGAACTTTCATTCTGATTTCACAACAACAGACATCGCTTTACTCTGATACAAACCAATCACTGCAGCCACCTGCAAAGCTGAAATAAACTACTCATAACCTAATAAACCTCATTAAAACTTGTATTCGCATTTACTGTATTTTCTTTTATTCAAAGACATATGAGTTACACAAAATTAAATATATATGTTAAAAGGTAAAATTGCAAACACTAATCTATTTTGGTATAAAAAGAATATGTCTTTCTAAAATTTCGCCAGGAGGGGCTCAAAAGTCCGTAGGGGGGGCTCAGCTCCCCCTGGCCCCCTGCTGGCTACGCCACTGTTGCCAACTGTTGGATTCTGACGAAGAAGAAGAAGAAGAATATATTGAATAGTAATATTACAACTATTTGTATTCGTTGATCGAGATACGTAGAATGTAGTGCTTGAAAATGCTGGTTCGAAAAATCCCATATGTACTTCTTGAACTAAATGATTTACCACCTTGATTTTTGCTAAATGAAAATTATCGTTATAACTGATAATAACGAACATGCCGACATCAATCTTATTCGATGTATGTACTTGTTGAATTGATGATTGAAAGTCGTCGTTGATCTTGTACATAAATATCATATAGTCTATTGAATTTGATGTATGTTTATAAACAATAGCGTGATCGAGACGAACATCGAATTGATGAAACGAACGTATATGTTTTATACGATCTAAAAGTAAATTATTTGAGATACTTTTTATTTATGTTCTTACCAATTTTATTTAATTTTTCCCAACGAGGTTTGAGAACATTGTTGTAGATATTTTCAACTGTGGCTGAGTTAATGTAAAAGGCATGAATTGATGGTTGATTGCTCGTAGACATCTTGGCTGCTGTTATTAAATTGAACTGTAAATTCATAAAATTGTTCCACCGACGAAATCGAGATGCCTGCTGCTATTATAGATTGAGTGGCGGTGGATTTAAAGGAGGTGCCAAATCCATCATATGGGCCCTTTCTATGAGCAGTACTGGTAAACGTCCAACATGCTTCAAGTTCGAAATCATGTTTATGATGAATCAGAGTGAACATATTGAAGTTGTTCTTAAAATGAGAACATGCGCCGTCACTTATAAAAAAAATATAATATAATTTTAAGCGAATTTTTGTAAACAACTAACCTTAAATAATTTATTTTTTTTTACTGACAGGAAATTTTTTTAATGAAATCAGCAATTAAGTCTAATGCAGCATATACAAAACTGATGTTGCGGGACACATAGTCACTGATGATAACAATAGTTTTATCAATTAATCCGATCTTTAAATGAATAGTAAAAATTGTCACTGGTTGATTGTTCCAATGGTAACTTTGTACTTCTCACTGTTGACAGATCGTAAAATTCTCTGCAAAATCTATTTGTGCAACAATATATGTATTTTCAGTTGAATTTAAACAGAGAAATTTTCATATATTCTTTTTGTTCTGTTGTAACATGTAAATGCAATAGAAATGTTGTCCATTGTGAATCTATTTCATCGAGAAGTGAATAATCAAAACCATTAATATGATGAAGATCAACTTTATTATTTAAAGTTTTCCATTGAGACCATGAAGCATTTTCATCTTTGTTGATGTTAATGTTCTCTAAGAGAATGTCTGATGGATTTAGCAGACTGCAGGTGTTACAATGACGATTAAAGCAATCTTCAAATGGAATACCACATACAATTCGATTAATTAAATGTTTATCTGTAATTAATTCAAGATCAGCATAACGATCAGGTAAATTATTTTTTAAGAATTTATTCCAGCCCTAAATGAAAACCTACAAAAAAATACATATGAATATTTTATGCCGACCATCAGTAAGAGATGCATATTTTCATGATAAATACATACACATGTTTCCAATGGAGTATTAAATTTGATTTGACGTTGTCGTAATGCATAGAATGAAGATTTACCTATGTCAATAGTAAGATTTTGACTAATAAATTGTTGAAATGCTTCACGTCCTGTTATTTTCATAAATCGAACAGGTACTGGCACTTTATTAATTTGAATAACATCTTTTTTTCTTGATGATGCTCTACTAATATCATCTTGTAAATAGAATTCTATTACTAATTTTATTGTACTATCAGATAAAGGTTTATTTCCATTAGAGTATTCAAGAAATGCAAGAAAACCTTTATTTTTCTTTAATAATAGCACTTGTTGTGCTTGGTACTCTGAACAGTTGAACCATTTTTGTATCATTGTTCAACCCCAACTATTTGATGAAATTGTTAACAAATGAATTTGTCCAACATCTCCACTTTGTTGAAATAAAGTATTAAAACCGGATAATAATGCATTTGTATCCTTAATCGAAAGATGTTGATTGATTGATTTATCTTCGGCGTCGAGAAGCAAATCACAAAGCGTATGAAGTATTGAACAAGCAGCATCAACATTTTGTCGAATATGTTTCAATTGACGTCTATTTAAAAATATAATTATCAAAAAAGAAGGATTACAAACTTACATATCACGTATGGTTGAAATGTCCAATAGTTCAAAAACAATATTTAATTTTCTTTTTGCTTCTTCTTTAGTGTATCTTTGTTCTTGTCAAGAGGGTAAATCTTCAGTATCATTATTAAATTATCCACCACCATGTTTGTTACCAAGTTCTTCGTGATCATTGTTATTATCAGGATTAATCATTCTGCTTTATCAACGCTCATAGTTTCACCAGCATTAATTTCGCTATTATAATTGTCAAATTCTTTACTTGATATTTTTCTCAAACAATTGATACAAATTTTGTCACCTTCACATATCTTCTTTGATGTGCTTTCAATAATTACTGAATATTGTTTGTTAATTTGAGCTGCAATAATAGCATCAATTCGATATATTCTAACAGGATATGTAGGACTTCACCCACTCTTTATAAACTTGTTTTTCCTGTAATTAGATCGATCGTGTCATGACATACATGAACACACCAACTTTTAGCAATGTATGGTATCACCACAATATACGAGGGTTTGAACAATTAAAAACTCAATACGATACTCATATGATTATAATTATAATTAGATTTGTTTGAATTAGATGCAATAGGATATTTTCGTGTCCTGCAATCCCACGCAAAGTACTAGATACATGGTTTAAATACAAATAAAGTGAAATCGTTCTTAGCATTGTATCATATTTGTTGATATAATTGTATTTTTTTGGCAAATTTATACAAAGCATCTTAAATTGGGAGTCATCCCAGTTGTTGTTGTATTTGTAGGTGTGAGTGTAGGCGCGGAATGTGGATGAGGGCGTCGGTCATCTCTTCACTCTTATCCACACTCACACACCAACACCCACCCTAGCCACGCCCACACCTACATCCACACCCATCCCACACCCTGTTTGACTTTATCCAGTATATATAGTTTTACAAGAGGCGAAGAATAAATACATACGATAAAGTTTTATCGCTTTATTTAAATTTGAAGATTTCTTTAATTAGAATAAAAAGTCATTTGCTCGTTTATTTGTTTATTTTGGAGTCTAAACTGTAATTAAGAGAGGGATTCTATCAGTAATCAACAAAACTCTATTCGGAAAATGAATGTAACATGTCCAATCAGCAAGTTATAACATTTGTTCGAATCAAGCACCGCATTTCAAACATAGAATACCGATTTTATCATCGTAGAATTCCTCTGAACTACTAATCATACGACGACATTTTGAGCAGTTGAAGCATTTTGGATGGAATTTTTTGTCTTGATACGTAGTATAGGTATCGGTGATTGGCATGCTACATTTATAACAGTGGGGCGCAACATGTCGTTTGAAGCAATCGTTACAGCAGGGTTTTTCATTGTGTCGATGAAAGGTTTTCTCATCGGCCATCGATCGTCGACATTGGCCACATCGAAAACAATCAGGATGAAAATTCTTTGTATCGTAGGCGATCATTCTCCCGACCAAAATCGCTCGAGAACACTCAGCACACCAGGTTGCAAATTTTTCGTTGTAACATCGAATGCAACAAGGCTTCGCATTATGATTGTAAAATTCTAGTTCGGTCAAGACTTTGTCACATTGACCACAACGAAAACAATCCTCATGGTATTTTTTCGTGTCGTAAGTGACGATTTTTCCGACCGAAATCGGTTTAAAACATTCGAAACATTTTGGAGCAAACCAATCATCGTAACAATTCACACAATAAGGTTTGTCATTGTACGATTGTAAGTTCTCTTCGTGGGCCAATGATCGACGACAATGTTCACAGCGAAAGCAATCCGAATGATAATACTTGAGATCGAAAGTAATAAGCCTACCCGATAGAACACGTTGTTCACATTTACTACACACTTTCGATTGGGCCAATTCACAATCGGAACACATTGGTTCGTTATTCTTATCGATTGTAAATTTTGTCGTCTTGGAATCATTCAATTTACTGCGACAGATCGTACAAGTAAAACAATCAACATGATATGATTGTTCGTTGAATTTGACTTCAGATTGATTGCCCCCTTCGATCCATTCTTTGCAGTTGTGGCAGCGTGAAGTAGGTTGCGCAGCACTCGTCTAAAAAGACAGTGAATTCTGACACTATAAAAATATCTCATTGTTCAATGTGTCCGACTTCACATCTTATGCCCACAAATAGGCGCCGGTGAGAATAGCAAAAGCCTGAAACGGTATTTATCAACATGTATAACCATTTTTCTGTACTTTGGTTATCGTTATTAGAATATCTTTAAAATTTCAGTTATTCTCTAGTCTCACCATGGTCTACTTGCATGAACAATATATAGAATCGAAGGATTTGATATTTTTTATCAATAAGAAAATCCCAAACTGCGACATCAGTTTTCTTATGATTACGCTTGAAATAATTTCATCTAGGCTTCGTTCATTGAACTTGATTTACTATTTGGGTAAGCGTATATCACGTCTCAAATGCTCTGTGGGAAGCCAGAGAAGAATATTTTCCTCCAAAATTTGTCTAAATCACGATTAAGTGATCGATATCGAATCCCGCCATTAGGCATATGTTGAGAATTTCTCCTCTTTTACCCAAGAACACTGTCATTATGGGTAATGCCATAAAAATTTTGGTCAAGATGCATATAGGTAGGCCAAATATTTCTCAACCAAATGAGACATTAGCAGGCATTTTATGATATATATTTCAATTTTTATTGATGTTTTACGAAAAGCTCTAAACTGAGACTTGTTTTGATCTAAGCTTTTCATAAAACTATTACAAAAATTGAAACGTACGTTGTACAAACCTCGTCTACATATCACTTGGTAGAATACTGTTTGCTCTAGAACATCAAGTACTCCAAAAGTATTTTGGAGTTCTTTTTTTCTCACAATTGAGCACTTCTTTGACAAAAAATTGCAAAATCTTAGTTTCAGTCTCGGTACATGTCTATCCGTCATGACTTACCTTTTTTGGTGCTAGGTTGATGAACAATTCGGTCTTGTAAATTTTTTCATCTGGAATATTGGTTCCTACCCGATTTAAAGAACCATATCCGTTATAACGTGGGCGATCAATGAAATAGGTGGGTGGACACTGTTGCGACGCCGGTGCAATCCTGACTGAGGTCAGCACAGGTGAATTCGTCGTTCTCGTTTCGTAGGTATCGCTCTATCAAAGTCATATGGTAATATAACTAATGCATTTGAGTAGTGATGAACCTACTTTGAATTGTCGAAATTCTGCCATTTTGAATAGGTACCTATTGTTCACCAAAATAAGCTTCAGTCAACTGAAAGAAAAACCAACGATTATTTAGAATCAGTATCGAAAACTTAAGTGTGAACTGTGCCAATGGGCATATCATCTTATGTGATATCTTTCCTTTCTCTATGTGTTGTTATACAATCGATATTATGTAGTTTGCATAATCGCGTTACTCTTACACTTACCTATGTATGATTGAGCTTGATTCTCTTTCTGTCGTAATATGCTTCTCATGTTGTATCATCATTCACTCGTATATTATATATATATATATATTGTCCTCACCTTTCCATTCATACGCTGTTGTCCTTACTCTATTGTTCTTCTATATCAGCTCTCTTCTTGGCCTCATTTTCTTTCTTTTCATCCTTACTTCTTCTACCTACATATATAAGCGTGT